CACACACACACGACGCGTTACTCTGCGCTGCGCAAAACTCCACATTTGAACAGTCAATAGCAAATACTTCAACTAATAACAAAACATACATCCAGTAGCTGATTCAGAAGCGCCAGATTGTCATAGCAAAGTCAGAATTGACCCCCTTTTTTATTTTTTTTATTTTTAAAGAAGTAGCCTTTGTGCACAGCCAGCCTTGTACTCTTCTAGGTTCAAAAAACTGTCGTCCATAAAATGTGTTGCACAAATTCGAACATCTGGGTTGTGCTGTTCTGTTGTAAATAAATCTTAACCAATGATTCCTAATTGCATCTACTTCCGGAAGGCCAAATAAAGTGCTTTTGCTTTCGCACAGAAACACACAGCGTCTCCCTGACATGCTGCTTCAACACTACTGCTGTTCCTGAAACCACGCCTTCTTTCTTTGCGTGCACATTTGGGCGGCATTATGCTAATATTTCCACATAGTGATGTAGACGTGGGGGGGTGTTAGAATGAGCAGTTTTAGGTAGGCGTGGTTGACTCTTAACTTTTATAAAGAATATATCTTTGGATTTGAGACTTTAGTCTTTGCAACTTTACAGATCTTCTTTATGCACCAAGAGCTTGTAACACTCCAAAGAAAAAGGAAAAATTGAAATCGCATCATATGACCCCTTTAACTGTGACTTTGTACTGCACTTCTTTTGTGACAGGATGGATCAAAACATTTGACAAGTACTACAATGACCAAACCCAGCATATCTTCAACAACCTGGTGGTGAAACTGGCCGAAGATCCTCGCCGGAAATTCATTTGGTCGGAAATATCGTTCTTCGCCAAATGGTGGGAAAGCGCAGATGTACATAAACAAGAGGCAATGCGCAAGTGAGTAACACTCTGTTAAATTTTGAAGTTAAAAAAAATGATGTTAAAGTTGCATTTCTGATTTCTGAAGGATCATGTGACACTGAAGACTGGAGTAATGACTGCTGAAAATTCAGCTTTGCATCACAGGAATAAATTACATTTTAAATCATATTAAAATATTAAACTGTTCTTTTAAATTGTAATAATATATTCAATTTTTCACAATCCAATCAATTCCTGACTGAGCTGCAGTTCACTTGGAAAACATTACATTGTGAATGAAAAATGGGTCACTTGTTCAGTGCCCTCATTCTGTCTTTTGTGTTTTGATTCGCTGCCTCATGCCCACTCTTGATCAGTTCATCTTCTTAATTAGTCTAGATGCTCCTTATATACTCTGATCTAATGTTGTGGATTTCCTCACCTCATCTTGTGATCAGTGCTTAAATGTTCAGAATCCTTTCTAAATCTTTTTTCTTTCAGGCTGATCCTCAGCGGACAGCTTGAGATGGTGACAGGAGGCTGGGTCATGACAGACGAAGCCAACGCTCACTATTCCGCCATGATCGATCAGCTCATTGAAGGCCATCAGTGGCTAGAGAAAAATCTGGGTAAGACTGGGTTTAATCTTAAAAGTGGCTCCTTCAGATTGGTTTGGAATATTTAACGGGTGTGTTACTGCAGGTGTGAGCCCTCACTCAGGCTGGGCCGTTGATCCGTTCGGCCACAGCGCCACGATGCCTTACCTTCTGAAACGGGCGAACATGAGCAGCATGCTGATCCAGAGGGTCCATTACTCCATCAAGAAGCACTTTGCAGCCACACGGAGCCTTGAATTCATGTGGAGGCAGGCATGGGGTAAATAAATTTAAATATTTATTTACGTTTTATACTTATTAAAGCATTATTATTACACATTTAATCAACTGAGAATAAAGTATCTCCCAAATTAAAAAGTATTTGTAAGTTTCTTTTATTTGTATATTTTCAGTTTTCATTAAAATTTTTCCCAATTTGATGTTTTTGTCATTTTTATTAGTTTTTGTTTCATTTTGAATCTTTTTATTTAGCTTCATTTTAATTTTTTCATTTCAGTTTTAGTACTTCACCTTAGAATTGTTTTATTTTTAGTTAGTTGCCAAGGCGATTTTTCTCATTTTTGTTGAAGTTATTTAAGGTTACTTTTTTATTGAATATTTTAAATACATTTTTTATTTCAGTTTTAGTTTCAGTAATTTTAGTACTTAAACTTATTTTATTTCCGTTAGTTGCCAAAGCAACATTTCTAATTTTTAAGTTTAAGTTTATCTTTTTGTCTAATTTTTTTTTAAATATTTTTTTATTTCGATTTTTAATCTAATATTTGTATTTTAATTTACTTTAGCTTTATTTCAGTTAACAGAAATAATTTTTAATCATCAGTATAAGTTATTTAATAATAACAGATTCAACAACATTAAAACGGAATATATAATTTTTAAAATTTGATTTCTATAACAAAAACAAAAACTTTTTAATCGTTTTAGTTAACAGTAACAGCACTGCTTATTCGTGGTGCTTGATCATCTGGAACATTTATGGTAGACATGAATGAAACCTCAAAATGAGGAGGAGAAGTGTGCTGTTACATTTCTAAGCAATTAAAGTTTAGATTTTCTCTTGGTGGGTGACAAAACGTGAAAAGATCCCTTAGACTCCCATTGAGCCACTCTTCAACACCCTAGAAACCGTAAAAACAACTCCTAAAACACATTAGGAAGCACCTAGCAACCAGTCCAAAAAAAAAAAAAAAATGGCATCATGGCAGTGTGTTTCGGATGTTCAAGCACCACTCATATTTATTATGAAATATTTAACATTTAGTTAATAACTATAATAGACCAGAACATAGCGTTTGTAATCATTAACCAACCCATCTCAGTGGCTCAGAGACCTACACATCAGAGTTGATTTATTTCATTTGATATTTTCAGATATTGAATCCGGCACAGACATGTTCTGCCACATGATGCCATTTTACAGCTACGACGTGCCTCACACATGTGGCCCAGACCCGAAGATCTGCTGCCAGTTTGATTTCAAGAGGCTGCCGGGCAGTCGAGTCAACTGCCCGTGGAAGGTGCCGCCCCGAGCCATCACAGATGCCAACGTGGCCGAGAGGTGAGGCTCTAGGGCTGATTAATATGAAACCAGGGAATACATTTGATTCGGGGGAGTTTAGCCAAAGAATGAATGTAGGTTAATTTCCTGTGTTAGCCAACAAAATTAATTTGTCCATCACCCAGCTGGCACCAGCTGTATTTATATGGGTGGCGCTCGAACTGGGCTCAGGCCAAATCCACTGCTCTCTCGCTCCGCAGAAGAAAACCAGGATATTAACAAGCTTGTAGCAATTAGTTTGCACCTGTCATTACACTTCAGAGGTCTTTCAGGTCTACTGGAATAGGCAGAGGGTTTTATGGGTACACTTTTAGCTTCATGAGTCATTCCTTTCAGAATATTCAAACGTGTTTTCTTCCTTTTGGTATGAATAGACAACAGCATTTTTTAAAACATTCTAAATGTCTTAACTGTCTGTTTTGATCAATTTAAGGCGTCCTTGCTCAATAAAAATATTCATTTCTTTATTAAAAAACAAACAAACCAATCTCCCTGACCCAAACATTTTTTGAACGGTAGTGTGTATATACACCACTTTTTGTCTGTTCAATGCTTGACTTGTTTTTAATCGATTGCTAGCCTTAATAAAACCCAATCCAGTGGATTTGCTTCATATTTGACATTTTCTGTTTCAGAGCTGGCGTTCTGCTTGATCAATACCGTAAAAAATCCAAGCTATTTCGTAGCAAAGTGTTGCTGGTTCCTCTTGGGGACGACTTCCGCTACGACAAAGCATTAGAGTGGGACCAGCAGTACTTCAACTACCAGAAACTGTTTGATTACATGAACTCCCACCCGGAAATGCATGTAAAGGTATGTTTTCTGATAAACATAGAGGCTCTAACCTGTAAATCAATAGAAAACTACAAGAACTGTCTGTAAGTTTGTCAGGAATAGGTTTGATTAGGTCTAGATCGGTTTCTGCAATTTTAAACAAACACAGCTCCTTCAACTCAGCTTTTGATATTCAACCAGGAATAATTTGAATGCATAATTTAACTCGTTTGTGAGTGAAGAAAAGAGTGCAGATGATTTCGGAAAATGTGAAATGAATTGGAATGGCCCTGTAAGTAAATCTCTGTGTTCTCAGGCCCAGTTTGCGACGCTGACAGATTACTTTAATGCGGTGTACAAGGCTAAAGGAGTCGCTCCGGGGACGAGACCGCCCGATTACCCTGTGCTGAGCGGAGACTTCTTCACTTATGCAGATAGAGAGGACCATTACTGGAGTGGATACTACACCTCACGGCCCTTCTACAAAAACATGGACCGTGTGTTAGAATCTCACCTACGGTTAGTCAGTGAAACATCCAACGTATGTCTACTATCTCATATCTGTTAAGATATGAAAAGAAATTGCCTAGCTAAGGATGCATCGTGCATGAGTACCATATTAGTTAGTAGCTGATATTTTTTGATATTGGCTGATATTTAATTGTTCATGTTCATTTATCTATTTTTACATGTAGATCACATTTGTCTTCAGCATAAATCAATATTAATATCCATTTGTCATACTGTACATCATAATGCTGTGATGCCTAAATGCACTTGTAGCATGATATTTAATTTTAGTTTTTAATGTTTTATTTTTAATAAAAAAATGTAATTGTAATTAAATTAATCATTAAATTATTAAATAAAATATAATAAACGTCGAGGTATCTGAATTTAATTCATTATTTTAGCAACTTCGGAAAGCGTCTGGTTTTATTTGCCAGAGATTCAATTATGCTTCGAATAAAGGCCTGTTCTCTGGGGAATAATTAAAATAGTTATTCTCCACGTGGGTGACAGGTTTTTCTCCTGAATTAAGCACGAGGCATTGCCTAATTACTGTCGTTACTTACTCATTAATTCTATTATCATTGGTTTCTCAGTTTGTCAAGTCTCGCCGTTTCGTTCGGTGTCATGAACTCTTGTGTTTGAAGACGGTTTAATTTTGTGTTTGTAGAGGGGCAGAAATTCTCTACAGCTTGGCGGTGGCTCACGCGCGGCGTGCAGGATTGGAAGGGCGTTATCCCGTTTCAGATTACTACCTCCTCACCGATGCCAGGCGCAACATAGGGCTGTTCCAGCACCACGATGCCATCACGGGCACTGCCAAAGAGGCTGTCGTCATCGACTACGGAAACAGGTTTCTGAATAAAAGTGTGCAGATTTCATCCGCATGAACTGATTAGAAGATGTTTAGAGATCAGAGGAAGTCTCTCAGGGCGTTATTACTGAAATCTCATCTTTAATGGTCCATTTTCAGCATTTTTAGAGTTTGAATTGATGGCTTTCGATTTGCAAGCAGTTCTTGATTCGTTTCTCCCCCCCCTCAGGCTATTACGTTCTCTGGTCGGTCTGAAACGAGTGATCATTAATGCTGCACACTTCCTGGTAATAAAGAATAAAGACATTTATCGCTTCTACCAGACGGAGCCTTTCTTAGAGACGGTGAGGAACAGCCTTGATTTTTCTAAAAGCAGCGCGTTTAACCCTTGTGCTGTGCTTAAGATCCTAATCTTAATTTGGTGTTCCCAAAAATGAGCGGCCTCTTAAAAATGGCTTGTAAATCTCTCAGTATGCAATATTATAACCAAATCTTTGATTTCATCTTTTTGTCAACTTGGAGTCTTTTAAATAGCACAGCTTTTGTATTTCTTTCTGGAACTGATTAATAGTAGGCCTCATTGAGTTTTTTGAGAGAAAAAAAAGCATTATTTCTCAATAATTTGGGCAATATTTTCGTTGCAAATATTTTAGTTGCATAAGCTTAGATCAATGAGGCTTATAATCATTCAGTTCCAAAAAGAAATACAAAACCTGTGGTAATTGAAAGAAAACAAGTTGACAAATATTTGGTAATAATATAGCATAACAAGAAAGGTATAAGCAGCTTTTAGGCCTATTGACCAGGAACAAAGTGGGAAAAAAATCCCCCAAAAATGATGCTTTTAGGAAGTTGTTATGCTCTGTGTGAGCAAAGTCCGTTTTAGTCTAATGGAATAACATTAACAAGCTTTTGTGGGAAAAATAAAATCCTCTCTGGGTTAAAATGACTAGAACACAACATGAGGGTTAAGAGTCTGACCTCTGTTCATGTGACTGTAGGACGACAGACGCGCCACACAAGACTCTCTCCCGCAGCGCACGCTTATCGAGCTGGAATCTACTCCCAGGTGAGATGCATTATCTGATCTCAAACGCTGCAAATGCTGACCTTTTTTCAGTGTGCAGATACGATCTTCTTCCTCCTCCTCAGGTATCTGGTGCTGTTTAACCCCGTCGAGCAGGAGCGTCTGTGTGTGGTCACCATGCTGGTGAATTCGGCAAGAGTTAGGGTTCTCACTGAAGACGGGCAAACGTTACCGGTTCAGCTCAGCGCGCAGTGGGTGTCTGCTGTTGAGATGAGTGGAGAGGTCTACCAGGTCTGTCTATTTGTGTCCATATGTTCCAGCATCTTAAATAAAGTCCGTCTGAAAACCTACACTCTTGTCTCTTCGTTCAGGCTTCTTTCATGGCACGCCTCCCCGCTCTGGGATTGGCCGTCTTCCACCTGTATGACTCTGCTGACTCCCCCATAACGCTGCGCTCTGATACGCTGCTCAGGATTCCGGGACAGGGTCAGAGCATACGGGGTTGGGACCCTCTGCCCGTGCGATCGCAGACGGTAGACGCCCAACCGTTCTACATCCAGAGCCAGTCTCTCACTCTGGGCTTCTCTGGAACCACAGGCCTGCTGGAGGTGAGATGATTTTTGTGTGTTGCTGTTGTGTTAGGAAATGAAGTGAGAAATTACCCGGGGCTTGAGGGTAAAATGCCCCAGGAAGTGTAGTGAATTCGCCTGCTTGTTTTTTGTTTTGTTTACACCATACACCGTTATCTGATTTGCATAATTCCTTAAGTAAATCGAGTGCTGAAACAATATAGCCAGCATATGCAAATGATTCAGTCAATGAATTCCCGCTCGTTTTTATAAGAATAGAAAATGTAGGGTTGAGAAATATTTTGGTTATCTTGCAGTATTAGAGTTTTGAAATCATCATTCTGTATTGTATGTATAAATCTCATCTGATATTAATTCCTCTTTTTTTTTTTGATTTAGATTAACTTTGCCATCATGTAAAGCTCATTTAAAGTTCATCTTTAAAGCAGTAATCATTTAAAAACATTGTTAAATGTAATCTTTAGCAAATCTGACAATGATTAGTAATTTTTGTGTACTGTACGTTATACTGTTGTGATGCCTAAATTCACTTGTAGCTTTTAAAATTATTCATTATAGTTTATTATTTTTTTTATGTTTTCAAAATAGTATAGATATCGGTATCAGTTATCGGCCAATATTAGAGAGTGTTTTTAAAAAATGTATTGGCATTATTCTATATTGTATACAGTAAGCTAGCTGATATTGGATATTTAATGTGCATTTATCAATTTTACATTTAAATGACCTTTAAGGCTCATATTAAGTAATAATAAAAAAACTAAATTAAATAACATGGTTAAAACGAATCTTCAGGAAATTTCACAACGAATATCCATTTTTGTACTATCAGTCATAGCATGAATTATAATAACAAATATCAGCTTGTAGGTATCAGCCAGAATTTTAACATCTGTGCACCACTAGAAAAAATTGCCCTAATCTTAGGAAAAAATGCTGAAAATCAACTCCACTGAGCAAATGTTTCATGGTAATAAAAAAAGGACGTTTCCAAGCTATGACATCAGCAGTCTATTTTTATGTTCATTCATCTGGACAAGTGTTTTTTCTTATTGTTGCCAAAAGAAATGAAACGTATATCCCTGTCCTATTTTTGTAGTACATATGCTGTTGTGTCCTCTTTTAGAGTCCGAGTCAGCAGATGAGTCTACAATGATTCATTCTCTCTCTCTCTCTTGCATGCTCTTTTCTCCATCAGAGCATTCGACGTAAAGACGATCCCCAGGAGGTGAGGGTACAGATTCAGTTCCTCACATACGGCACTCGACCCTCTAAGGACAAGAGCGGGGCCTATCTCTTCCTGCCGGACGGAAATGCCAAGGTAGTGTCCGGCAGTCTTGACTGGGGCGAAAAGCAATTTATCAAACAATGTGGGGTGAATTAACACCTTCCCTTCTGCTCGCTCTCAGCCTTATTCGCAGAGAGAAGCCCCTGTAGTGCGTGTGGTGGAAGGGCCTCTCTTCTCTGAGGTTGTGGCACATTATCAACACTTCCAACAGACGGTCCGCGTTCATAATGTTCCAGGTAGGCATCCATCTGTCTCGCAACCAAACACGATCGTGCTAGGACGTCTTGCCCTGTCTGATCACTTCTTCCTGGCATATCACTCTGTCTCGGTCGTTCAGGAATTGATGGTCTTTCTCTGGACATCACCAGCATGGTGGACATGAGAGATCAGAATAACAAGGAGCTGGCCATGAGGCTGGTTACCGACATTCAGAGCGGAGATACTTTCTACACAGACCTCAATGGTTTCCAGGTGAAGTATAAATGTCCACAAACTCTAGAGGGGTTCATCAAGCTGGTGTCTGGTTCCTCGGAGTCTTTAAAAAAAATCTTGGTTTTATTTAAGCAATCGGCTTGGAGTAAAAATTTGCCTTAGTTTGTCGTAGACTCAGATTACTCACCAGCCAGATAATCAAGATAATGCTCCATGTTCTGCTCATCAGATCCAGCCTCGCCGGTACTTCCAGAAACTTCCACTGCAGGCTAATTTCTACCCAATGCCCGCCATGGCATATATTCAGGACAGCCGATACCGGCTCACGCTCCACACGGCCCAGGCACTCGGGGTCAGCAGCCTGGCCAGCGGTGAGGAGAGTTCACAAATACTGATACTGCAACAGTGTCGATGACAAATCAGTAAAAATCCTTTCTTTATTTAGCCAGTATAAGAGATTAGATTTTTTTTACAAATGTATTTTTTAAATACAAATTTTGGTGCAAAAACTAAAATGGAATTAAAAACACTGGTTTTAATTGGATGTTATTTATATAAACTTTAAAAGAACTGCATGTAGCCTAAGTTTTTATTTGGCTTAATATGACTTTTTCTTATTTTTTATGTAAATGTATTTTTATAATTATTATTTTTTAATTTTTTTCTAAAATGCCACTAAATGAGTGAAACTTCTTGCACAGTATAATTGTACCATATTGGCTACTGGTCCGTATTAGAACTTTTATTTTCTTTCATTTAAAATGTTTTAATTATTTGATTTATTTTTATATTAAATACATTTTGGTGCAAAATCTAAAATACAATTAAATACACTACTTTTAATTGAATGTTATTTACATAAAAAAAATGTAGCCCAACTTTTTATTTGGCTTATTAATATTAAATTGGTTACATGATTTATTTATATATTTTATATAAATGTATTATTATTATTATTATTTTATCATTTTGAACTAAATTGCCATTAAATTAAACTAGATGCTTCAGGAAGGTTACTAAGCAACAAAAGCATGTCCTAATTAATATTCATAAGCTGAGCTTTTACCATAGTAGGAATCAAACTTTTTTTTTTCACCTGTGTACCAAACTGAGCTGACAATCCCATTGGAAAAACTCTCCTCGTTATGCTGTTTTCAATTTAGTATCGACTTGGTACCGAAGTACCAGCACTTTTTAGGTCTATAGCAGTGAGTTTCTTAGCAGGATGACACATGAATCAGGGACTCAGATGGTAGGGAGGAAAAACACTAACAGTGGGATGCAGTGCTCTGGTTCTGTATTGATTTGATGCGATGTAGCCAATAATGAAGATGAAGTGAGTGTACCGTCTAATGCTTTGCCTCACTCTATGCTATTACCGTCCTCTCCCTCTTCATCCTTTCCCCGTACGCTCTTTCCATCCTCTACAGGTCAGCTGGAGGTGATCCTAGACCGCAGACTGATGCAAGACGATAACAGGGGTCTAGGGCAGGGCCTGAAGGACAACAAACGAACGGCCAATCGCTTCCGTCTTCTGCTGGAGAGGAGGAGCAACAGTGGAAAGGTGAGTTCTGACTTAGACGAGGATACAAATGAAATAAACCGAAGTCAGACTCAGACTTTGGATTAGTACATGCTTATTCTGACCAAGAACCGGCAACTTAGATTGTCTGACTAATCACGCAAATTCAAATTAAATTGAAAAGCCCTAACCCTAACCCAGAGTTTACGTGGTATTAAGTGTCTCAAACACAATGAAATATATTGTAAGAATTGGATTTAGATTGTAGAATTAGATAAAAAAAAAAAACAAAAAAAAAACAGACTTTGGATTTGTAAATGCTTATTCTGACCAAAAACTGCCTACTTAGACAGGAAGAGATCACACAGTCACATAAATGAAATGAAATATTAAAATAAATTAAATTAAAAAAATATTTATTTTCTTTTAATTTAAAGAAATATATATATATATATATATATATATATATATATATATATTGTGCACGTCTTCTGTTTTATTTTCAATAATAATAATAGTAAAACAACTATACACTAAAAAAACAAACAAACATAATTGGCATGCTAAATTTATTTTAAGAATTAGATGACAAAAACCAAGACTAGTTGTTCTTCAGACTTTAGATTAGTACACACTTATTCTGACCAAGAACTACCTTCTTAGGTTGCTTTACATGTCAGATTGCTTTATAGTCAGGCAATTGCTACCTGTCTATTACATAAATTCAATTTAATTAAGATAAAAATAATTATTTTACAATAAAAAATCTTTTTGGGTCATTTTGGTGGGGTACATCGTATTTTTATTATTATTTTTTTTCCCTGTAATAATAATAATAATAATAATAATAAAACTATACACTTAAAGCAGAACCTAGTTTATATGCTACTGGTCGCCTCAAACAAAATGAAAAATATTTTAAGTATTAGATGACTAGATTTTCCTCAGAAGTGCAGCCTGGTACGTTTTTAATACAATTTTATTTCCTGGCTGACTGATAAAAACCCCTGCTCCCTGACTGGCGAGAATCATAGCAGTTGATTAATCTGATTGGAGCCTGCAATTTCGGCTTCACATGAGAGATCTTGTTATGCATACCAAAATATAGATATCCTTTAGCAGTGTGGCTGGTATGTAAATGCTCATTTCACTCAGTGGCCTGTAGGGGGCTCTCTATGGTTGCTAATGAGAGCTTTGTGAAGGCTCTAGGGACAGTATCATTCTGAGTCTAGCAGTCTAAAAGCTGGCAAGTGTGTAATAATAGATAATGGGCTTCAGAGATTTTACACACACTGGCTCAGATTGATTTGAATAATATATATTTTTATTCGAATCATGCTGTCGCCTGAAAAATTATAAATAATATAGTGTCCTATACAGGACACTGTATATTATGTATTACAGATATATTTTTAAGTATATATTAATAATTATAATTTAAAAAAATATATTTTTTAAGTGTATATTAATAATAATAATAAAAAAAAAGAACTGTCAAAAAAAAATATAGTAATAATTTTATTTTCTAATATATATAAAATTATAATATAAATATGATATAAAATTATAATACTTATAAAATACATGTGTATATATAAATAGCCTTTAACAATGCGACCCCCTTCTGTTTCTTTTCATTCCAGCTCATCATGCCCCTCTTATGCATTTCACAACCTCTTTTTGTTCCTGTCTGTCTATCACTTATCATGTCCTTCTCTCCTCATGCATGCAGCCTGCTGGCTCCTATGCCAGAGTCACCAACATCATAAACAAAATCATTGCTGGTATTTTAGGAGACGGCCAGGAAGAGGTAACATTATTGCAGTGGTGGAGAGTGACACCGTAGCAGTTAGTTCAGCTTGTTACCATAGCAACAAGTGACAGGTTTCCACCTGGATTAAGAGGCCAAAGGTCGTTTCCTGTCCACTATCTCCACCTGTGCTGCCGTGCCCCCAAACCGTTTATATGATAACGGGCTGTAGATCAGTAGTATGTAGAGATAGAAACTGTATTGAGCTTTTCTCATACAGTGACCCCAAAAAGTTCCTTTTTGTGGTCACAGTATGTCACGTAAAAGGAAGTGCACTTGCACGAAGTCGCTTTACTTGCGTGTTTCCTGATGCATGTCTGTATGTTCCAGCCGGGGGACAGCAGACCAGTCAGCTTCCCATCGCTGCTCAGTCACATGACCTCCACCATCCTGAACCATGAGGTGCTGGCACTGCCTGTGTTGCCCAGGAAACACGGCGTGCCACCCATGCATACCTTCGCTCCATTGGCTGGCACCCTGCCCTGTGACTTTCACCTGCTGAACCTCAGGAGCATCCAAAGCCGGGTAAATGATAGCCCTGGGAGAAAAATGTGTGTCAGTATCGATTTCACCTGCTGTGAGACTGATGAGGACTTAGAGTTCATAATGAAAAAAAACTTTCACACTTTCTTGTGGTCTGGTGGTTTTATTGTGGGTATGTTTGGAGGGGGATTTATTTTCAGTGGAATTTATTTGATATTGTGTCATTTTTTTCAGCAGGATGCTCACTTTCCATCGCCTTACACGGCTCTGCTCCTCCATCGACTGGGCCTGGATTGTGGTCTGGAGGCCCAGAACCCTGGTTTCAACTGCACTACCACACAAGGCCAGGTCAGTGTCCTTGGAGGAAAAACTACTTTTACTAAAAATGCTTTACATATGCACATATACAGTGGGGAAAAAAAGTATTTAGTCAGCCACCAATTGTGCAAGTTCTCCCACTTAAAAAGATGAGAGAGGCCTGTAATTTTCATCATAGGTATACCTCAACTATGAGAGACAAAATGAGAAAAAAAAACCAGAAAATCACATTGTAGGATTTTTAAAGAATTTATTTGCAAATTATGGTGGAAAACAAGTATTTGGTCAATAACAAAATTTCATCTCAATACTTTGTTATATACACTTTGTTGGCAATGACAGAGGTCAAACATTTTCTGTAAGTCTTCACAAGGTTTTCACACACGGTTGCTGGTATTTTGGCCCATTCCTCAAGAGCAGTAATGTTTTGGGGCTGTCGCTGGGCAACACGGATTTTCAACTCCCTCCAAAGATTTTCTATGGGGTTGAGATCTGGAGACTGGCTAGGCCACTCCAGGACCTTGAAATGCTTCTTACGAAGCCACTCCTTTTTATTCATTTATAAAATATTCCTAAGCTTTGTGATACATATACACGTGCACACACACAAATATATATATATATATACTGCTTTGTAATATTACTGTACTATTACTTCTTTATATTTCTTTGTGAATATTTGATACATTTGAGTTGTGTAGTCATGGATCACTTCATTTGAACGGGTCTAAACTGTGTGGATGCATGTAGCTCTGATAAAGGCTATTGTTAGTCATTCTGCATCTCAGTCTCTGATCTTTCTCCCCAGCTCTCCATTTCTGGGCTGTTCCGTGGGCTAGATCTTCAGCTCCTGCAGCCCATGTCTCTGTCTCTGATGCACTCCCAGCCTCCGCTCTCCAACGACTCCTCCGTCAATCTGGAGCCAATGGAGATCTCCGCCTACAAGCTCAAGCTGTGCTAGAACGATGTTGCACCAGAACCGGGCTCTCCGTGTGGACCCTTGGAACCTGCGCTCAAGCAGAGAACCACAGCTGGATGAGCAGAGGACTCTTTTGGAGATTGTTTATCCAGACTTAATGTATCTGAATCAACAAGAAGACGCTAACTAAACTCTTAGCAAAATGGGGAAAAAAAACAAACTCAAGGATGAGAACGTTCCAGCCAAAGTCAGATTTGGAAGCCGGCCCGGGCGCTGAGATGAGAATGTCTGAGTGTGTTTTTTTTTTTTAGAGAGAGAGAGATTTTTTCTGGCAGAGCACTAATCGGTAAACATCTTTTTATTCCAGCAGTGCCGACTGTTGTTCTTTCTCCCCTTTTGTCTTTGGCTGGAACTGCTGACCGTTTCTCATTCATTTTCTCATTCATTCATCCCTGGAGGTCGTACTGTATGTAAATATCTCAAAACCTACATACACAACTGGACCTATACAAAACTGTGGGACTCAGTGCAATATGTGAAGCTTCTTGCCCTTTTGTTTCGTCATTCTATTTGTTATCTATTCCTAAGGCCTTGGAAGCTACGCTTGAATCCGTGTCATTGTTGTTTGAGCTCACACAGTTCTTTTTATTTCTTTATCTCTGCTGTGGACGGTTCTGCATATGCTCGGCGGCGGTGGCGGCTTGTTTTTTTTCTTCTATGAATGTCAATCACCCAGCTTGGCCTGCGAAGGCTGTCAGTGCGGTAACAGACGCGGCATTTACAGATCTCTTTCTTTCAGGATGGCTCTCGACACTTCGCTGACAGAAGACGACGTCCACGATCCAGCAGCGGTCGGGTCTAGCTCTTTCATTGGTCGGTTATTGGGTTACTGCTCAAATCGCACGACGAGAGCTGACGTTTACAATCTTTTTCCTTCCTTTTCCATCGTAGCTTCTGTTAATGAATCAAGCTGCTTTTTAATAAGCTAGCTGTGGATTATCCCCATTTTGATCGTGTCTGGCATAGTTACAAGCCGCAGAATGTGCATTTTGTCATATTATATTCACAGGTTTGAGCCATATTTAAATGCAGTTCGGGATCAGATCAGTCAAAGATATGCAGAGTTTGTCTTATTTCAAGACCTAGATCAGTCTACGAGCTTACCTAGACATCAACACATTCGCTTGATATACCTTCTTGCAGTATTTTCAGGTAAACCGAACTCGTATCTGATTGTAAAGGTACTAGTGCAGCTGCGCTCAGATTTAGCCAATTTCCCACACCAAAACGCGTTTAGGCCTTATCTCGCTGTAGGAAGCCCATCTGTAATGTGTAGCAGACCCATCTCAGTCATCCCTTCTGGCTTTTGTCTGTCACCTCGGTTTGCTTGAATCTGACAATTTTGAACATAAGAATGCTGTCTGTCCTTCAACCTGTCGTGTCGTGTCTCACCTCTCCCAGCCGGTCTGTCTCCCCTGGGAAAATCTGTACTCCAGTCTCTGATTTAAATTACGGAAAAATCTTCGCTCTTCTTCGACTTTCAACTCCATGCCTGATTATCTCTCTGTAGTGCGGCCACATCCATTTACATCAGCCAGGCCATCATCCGGCTTCTCCAGCTAATCAAGTTCCGGAGTAGTGTCCTTTCAGGAAGATAATTCCCCGCAGGAGGAACTCCGAGTATGGAGTGCCAAACGTCTGTCCAAACACAGCGTAGGGCGTGCTTGCTATTCCAAAATGCTCTCGCGCCTGTAATTTGGTCCGATTCGTTTTCCCTGTCTGTGCATTTCACTGCCATGCTTGTTTTTCCTGTGCGTACGCTTGCCATACTGACAGATCTCTTTGTTAGATTTCCTTTATTTGTGTTGTGTGTTCTGAGATGGAAATGAAATGACAGTGAATTGACAGGTTAATTTATTTTGTTGTTTATTTTTTTCATTTTCTGCTTTGGTTTGCTATTGAGAGTGTCTTCAAAGAAATGACTCGTAAAAGCAAATGCAGAGCCATTAAAGTGGACGTTTAATAAAGATCACACATGGAAAAAAAGATTGAAATTCTTGGTGGTTGTGCACATTTTGCATGGTAATTGGCTTTCCATTGTTGTCTGTTGTCTTGATGCTTTGTTGTTGTGCTCTGGATTGCAGATAGGGGGCAGTAGGGACTTGTCTGCATTTAATGTGGCTCCAGGGAGAGGCGTGGGGTGTGAAAAATTGAGTTCACTTAACAAAAGCTCACAAGAAATGCTGCTTTTTATATCTGAACACCCTCTGTGATAGCCGGGATATCAGGTACTGATTTACCAGACAGCCTTTGGAGAGAACTGGAAATACCGCTGTCCTCTCACAGTGTTGACAGGTCTACTGAAGTCAGACTGCCCTTTTTTCTTTCTTTTTTTTTTGTATGGTTATTTTTTTTTTTAGATGCCCTTTCACGCTCCGCTGAGACCAGATTTGGTTTCTTCCACAGCAGACGGGTTTGTGTGCTAAAAGGGTGGCTTGGTCCCTGAGCTCAGGCATTTGAGAAAGAGGCCATTCTTCTTAATAAGTCTGAGGGCTGAGACAGCAATAAAACTCAATCTCACCGCTGAGGACTTTAATAAGATGACAGAGGCGCTGATAGAGATGGAGATGTTTTTGAGGGATTAGTTGAGACAGAAATGAAAATGCTGTCATTTATACTCGCTCTTATGTTGTTCAAACCCATATGACTTTCTTTGCCAGGTGGAGCGCAAAATGAGAAGCTCTGCAAAATGTCCAAGCTGCACTTTTCCCATACAATGAACAAATGGGCTGTAAAGCTTTGAAAATGACCAGAAAGCCCCAGAAAGTAGTTCATATGACTCATCTGCCGTGAACTGAGACTAAAGACCGTTCACACCAACAACGCCAACTTTATAGCGTATGCACAAACGCACAGTAACGGACTGCTTATTATAAACACATGCTGCTTGTCATCTGCCACTTTAAATGCTTGAGCTGGGTGGATTCTGATTGGCTGTCAATGTTTTTGTCATTCATGAGCTGGGAAAAAAAAAATCTGAAATTGATTACATTTACATTTATGCATTTAGCAGACGCTTTTATCCAAAGCGACTTACAGTGCATTCAGGCTATATATATATATATATATATATACAGTGGGTACGGAAAGTATTCAGACCCCCTTAAATTTTTCACTCTTTGTTATATTGCAGCCATTTGCTAAAATCATTTAAGTACATTTTTTTCCTCATTAATGTACACACAGCACCCCATATTGACACTGGGGCATCGTCTTTGGTGTGAACAGCCCTTTAAAAGTCCCTTTTGTCTCTTACACAAATATGATATGGTTTCAGATGACAGCACACGAGTCACATGAAGCAGTTTTATAACGCTTTATTTTTGACACTTGACGGCTCTTGTATTCATTCTATAGTAAAGAGAAGCGTGCACAATGTTCACAACATCTTATGTGCTCTACAAGATTTAAAACCAGTTTGAAACAGAATTTTCACCGAAATAAGATCAAAGCATATTTGTGAGTGAATAAACAATATGCTTATTGCAAAATGAAGCTGCACTTGTCACTCGATAGCATTTAAGCATCCTCACACCAGCTCTGAAATTCCTTATATTTGCTTCAGATGCAAGTCAAGCTTTAGTTCAAACTATCTGGCACCACCTACTCGTTCTGAATGTCAGCAACTTTTTCTTTTTTTTTTACCTCCAAAGAGCATGTTGTGCCTTTCCTCAAAGAACACGACAAACACATTACATCACAAAATTCAGCCTAATAGAATCATTTTAAAAGAACAGAAATAGTGCCTTGTCTCGCAGGAACTGAAGATCTGCACCTCTCCTACCCATTAACGAGGCTGATAAAACCTATTAAACAATTGTGGAACATCTGAGGAGGATAATAAGGTGCACTCAGCAGATTTTCGCAGCACTTGAAGTAAAAATACGACAGTGCAAATTGACAGCAGCACTGATTCTTGTACTATTAGTCAAAGACACGCTTGTAACATTGCCGGTCGTATGGCAAATCAATGGGAGTGAGCTGAGCACGAGGGAAAAATATTTCCAATATTCCCTTAGAAGAGCAGTGAAGATGAGAAACAACATGAGTAGCTGGACTATCCATATTTCTGTCTTATTGCTCAATTAGTATGTATGTAGCAGCATCAGTCTCACTTATAATGCCAAATAGGCAGAAGCTTCCAGCGCTGAATATGAGATCCCGTTCCTCCTAGCTGAACTAATTATGGAAAGCATTTTAAATGTGCCATTTCCATAAACTAGTTCTCTCCTCCCTCTTCTGGGAGCTGGAACATGTAAGTTTTCCTTTGCCGTCATGGAAACATGGAAAGTTTGCCGTCCTATGAAGTGCACGTGAAATATCGATGATCCATTTAGACCGATGGTGCGTATCTCCATGTGAATTATGGCAAATTGGCATTAATAAAAAAAAACAAATATTTCAACAGATTTCCAAGTACTTTTAAATATGATTAAATGAAGACGAACGCAACAGATGTTTGTAATTAATTTAATGACTGCAGTATTGACAGCAGCAACAAAACTGTTAAATGCTTTAATGCAATGCTGAAAGATGTGTTCTAGCGAACACATCTAATGAGACCGCATTTTAAGGCATCATAGACATGTTTCGGTGATCCAAAAGGTAGGTAGCAACATCATGCTGCCTTCTAAGATGCATCACTCTAAGCCAGCGTTCAGCATGTATAAGCTAATCCCAAAATGCATTGCGACAAGCTTAGTGGAAAAATTCATCCATGGAATATTGATTCTGTAGTGGTTCAAGCACAAAGTGATGACACCTTTGGTAATACAGAAGATATACTGACATATTATGGATAATAATTAAATGTAATTAATAAATAGTTCAATAGAGTTAAGTAGTTTAATATAAAATAAGATTGAACTGTTTTGGGTTGGTAAGATTTTGGAATGTTTTTGAAATAATTTTTAATACAGTAATATATATATATATATATATATATATATATATATATAACTTTTAAACAGTAAGGTAATTAATTATATTGAGTTATTTATTCGAAGTATGGATGATAAATATATAAAATAAACTATTTTACCCCTTTTTTTTTTTTTTTTTACCCAATTTGTAAAATTATTTTTATTCTTATTAGAGTATTGCATCATTAGCTTAGAAGCATGCTATAGTCAGTTCTATTTAAATTAATTATGAGTTGAGTTGCCTTTGTGGCTGCCTATGAAGGGCTCTCCAAATCTATTATTTATGAGCTCCTCTTTCGGTTAGCATGCTGCCTTAGAAGGTAGCTACCTATGTAGGCAGTATTCTAGCTTTTTGGATCAGTTGAACTGTATGGTTTATAGTGCCATTGTATTTCTATAGCACTCAAATGTCACATGATTATTAAAAAAACGACCCAACCAGAGCTCCACAAATAGGAGTTGAATTCATGTCTCAGCGTTGACACTGACCTTTTGGGAAATATATGACACATTTTCTCTTGAGGCTTCTTTGTGTTAGTACAGACAAGTTTAGAAGTCAAACTCAGACATGAAAATCAATAAAATAACCTCTGGGACAAAGTTTCCTTTTTGTTCAAACATTGCTATTGAAAACCCATAATAGATACTCACTGAGCCATTTGTGAAGGTACATGCTAATTAGCTGAGAGATAGAACAGACAAAACAAACCTAAATGATCTTAAAAACTACAGTAAAGTCAAATGTTAGGATACAACTTTTATGATGTAACAAAAAAATAATAAATGTGATGTTTATCAAGATATTTCTGCTGTAGAGCTCACAAATCAATCTAAGACAGTGCTGAATCTAGCTTGACTGACAGATAAGAGCTCTGCGTTTCAGTTCAGCATTTCGATCGCTTGTTTGTCTGTGATTCCCACTGTTCTGAATCGGTGCCGGAGGCTCTTCGTAGGCAGAGGTTTGCGTGTTATCTAATTCCATGCTGTTATGGTTCACTTTGCTGATGCTGTTGCAACATCTCTGATGCAACAGAAATTGTCTGCACACATTCAATACACGAGCTAAACATTCACGTTTGCATTTGCACAATTGCCAGGAGAGTGTTTCTGGAATAGGACCATAAAGGTAATAAGGTAATTTCATGTTTGCTCTCATTTTCTGGTCCAAATAGAACAGATTATTCACCTAGTAAAATTCAGTACTGCCTAGAGTAACAATTCAAGAACACCATATGAAAAATGAGTGAAATAACTTTTCAGCAAAGTTTGTCCTTGAGCAATCTGCAGTACTGCAGGCACAATATGGTGCCATGATGGAGAAATCCATCATAAAGTCTCTATAGCAACTATGAATAATAAACTTGAGCATTTGATTAACAAATTAATTTTTTTTTACTGCCCTCTGAAGTTTGGCAAGGTACGACCTCTCATGAAGGAGAGGCTCAGGATTTAAAAAATGTTCTACTTCATTAATAATGCACAGTTTATCTAATTTAAACCTCTCTGGCATCACTCTCAAGTGTTTTGCAATATTTATACGCATAAACATATTAATATTCATAAGCACAATGGTGTAATCATACTGAGACATATGAAAATTTCTATATGACAGAGAGGTTTTGCTATGGGAATTATTGAATATGTCAGTATTTTCTTCTGGTCATGAATGTCATCACCTTTAAAAGCTTGTCTGTTAAGGGTTGTGTGTGTTTATTTGTATGCCCTTTGGTCCAAGGTGTGTGTGTGTGTGTGTCTTACCAATGCAGATCTGCTGGGTGTCAAAGGTTTTGCAGCTGTTGTTTGAAGGCCGGGTGTAATCGGAAATGGACGGATCTGTGGCACTGGGAAAACAGCAATATCAGATTCAATTTATAACTGTATTTCCTTGGTTCACGACTCAAGCTTATTAGTTTTGTCGGCTGTTGCTCTACATGGCAGAAACAAGTGGCTTTTGGGACTTGTGGAACCCACGGCCAAGGTTGGAAAGCCCTATTATTTCTCAGCAGGGTATTTCAGGGCAAACCACGTCTGATATTGGACATAAAGCACTGCTGAAAATACGTGCACGACAAGCCATTTCCACCCAAATGAGATGGATTTAGCGTAAATGTACGCCGTGGAACAGTATGAAAAATATCCTGCTCTGACGTCCATATATTTTTCAGGGTGATTTATGAAGAAGGGGATCCATTTCATAAGCTTTCAATATTTTTGACCTCACAATAAATGACTTAGCATGTATATTCATAATGCCACATGCACGATTAATGAACCTAAAGCCACAGCACAGATGTAGAGATTTACATATAGTGATTAATAGATATACGACTACTGAAATTCTCATGTCGTACATGGCAAGACTTGCACAGATAACAGATATCCTTTTATATAGATGAGGTGCCAGTGCTGGAAAACATGCCAGAGCCTTTAAACTGGCTGGACTCAAACCAGGAATCTATTAATGGACAGGGGGTGGAATAATGTCCTCCCCACTTAAAGATTTCATAACAACAACAGTATGGCTACACTTATGCAAAACAGCACTGGATCACTCCTATTATAAGCAATAAATTACAATAGAAGCACTGAGACATGCATTCAGATGGCGGACAATCCTGTCTCCGCATAGCTATTTCAGAAACGTATTTTCCTTTATTATATATTTAATATATCATTTTTGAGATTATATATATATATATATATATATATATATATATATATTAGGGCTGTCAGTCGATTAAGATTTTTAATCTAATTAATTACAGGGTAAAAATACCCACAAAAGATCATTTAAAGCTATTATTGTATTAAATGTTTAAGGCTACAACAGCCTAACAGTAAGTATGGAACAAGATGATAATTTGAGAAACATCTCATTATTTTTTTGTTCATGCTATGAAAGTCATTGGTGACCAAAACAGCTTTGTTACCATTTAAACAAAGTTTGTAACCAAGTAATTCAGGTTTGAAACAACATGAGGGTGAGTAAATGATGACAGAATTTATTTATTTATGGTGAACTATCCCTTAATGTTTATTTATTTTTAAATAAATTAAATGATACTCTAAAGAAGAAACTAAAACTACCAGCAGTCGATTCGTTCAAACGGCTGATTCATTCAGGAATGAAGTAAACGGTTCACTTTATGAATAGACTATTGAATCATTGGTTCACACGATTCGTTCAATACGAGGATTCATTCAGAAAGTGTTGCGCGGAGATGCACAACAGTTCTGCTGTGGCTTTATAGGTAATATTTTCTTTGGCAAAATTGAACAAAAACACACAATGTTGTGTTTAAAATATAGCACAATATTAACTTCTTATTTACTGAACTGTTGTATAAAATCACATTTGCACTCGTGTTCTTAGTGACAAAAACAGCACTCGTGTTATATTGCTCTCGCTGCTCGTGTGATATCGCTTATCATATGATATAAATATGAGACAAAAACTCATACAAGGGCATTTTTTGCCCCAATATCTTGAATTTTAGTGCATAACTGCTTTTATGGAGTTGTTGCCCTGCATCATAGTTGTCAACGGGCAACTGTATGGAATGTAGATGATGTACAGGTCTGGGGCGGGGCCAGTGCGTTAACTGTGTTAAAATAATTTAATCACATTATTTTTTCATAACTAATTAAGTTAACGCGTTAAACTGACAGCCCTAATATACAGAAAAATCCAGAATAACTGTAATACAGAAAAACTGTAACATAATAACAAATAAGTAAATATGTCTATATAAATAAAAGTAAATATATCAAACGTTTGGGGTCAGCAAGTTTTTTTTGTTTTGAAAGAAATGTGTATTTTATTCAGCAAGTAAACATTAAATTATCAGACTGATCAAAAGTGACAGCAAATACATGTTACAAAAGATTTCTATTTAAAAAAAAATTGTTCTTTTGACCTATTGATACATATCACAGAATCCTAAAAATATGTCACAATATTACTGTTTTTACTGTATAATTGATTAAATTAATCAGCCTTGGTGAGCATTAGAGACTTGTAAATATATAGATGGATAGAAAATATATCTGTCTGTGTATATATATATATATATATATATATATATATATATATAAATTAGAATGTCGTGGAAAAGTTCATTTATTTCAGTAATTCAACTCAAATTGTGAAACTCGTGTAATAAATAAATTCAATGCACACAGACTGAATTTAATTGTGATGATTTTGGCTCACATTTAACAAAAACATATATATATATATATATATAAATAAATATTTATATAATGGGTTTTTAATAAATTTCGCTAATTAAACTTTATACATTTTTAAATATAGTTAATACATGTCTAAAATGTAATAAATAAATATGCTATTTTATATAATATAGATGTGATTTTACAATACAGGTTAATTATGATTTGATTTTAAATCACAGCGTAGTTCTGAGAGAGGTTCACAGATCCCCTGGCCAAGCACTGGCTCCTGCACAAGCACACATTTCAGTGGAAAATGTGCATGACTGTCTCTCTTACACCCAGACGTTCAAAAGTCACCTACAGCGCAACATCACAAAGACTCCCAACCGATGAAAAAGAGCAGAGTTGTGACAGAAAGACAACAGAGATTGAGGTTCTTATAAAAAATGCCTCCAAAAACATTTTAATCGAGCATGATGACTTGATGTTGTATATGGGCCATGGGGTCAATCGTCCCCTGAACGAGGAGTGTTGACTGGCAGTCATCACCCATTTCTCTCAATCTCTCCTTCATTTTTTGGGATGAGCAATGTCAAGGCGATGTCAGAGGGCTGAAGATGATGCACAAGGGGTAATGAAGTCTAACCGATGAGGGGGAATGATGGGCAGGAGTGCGTAGAGCGTGTGTGTGTATGTCTGTCCGTAGAGACAGGTGTCATTGTTGTCATCACTCACTTGGCCTCCAGAGCGAGAGCGATGATTCCAGCGGCCAGGGGAGCCGAGGCGGACGTGCCCGTGTGCGAGTCTGTACACTTCTTCCTCAGGTCCGTTGTCACCTGCACAGATGAAAACACATATATGGAAAGGTCAGATGTGTTACTGGTCAGCTATTGGAAGGACATTGGTTGTAGCTATATATAAGATGTGAGGGTGTCTGTCAGCCAAAGGCGCCTGTCAAATTGCCTGACAAGAATGTGAGTCTGAGAGGGAAGAAAAACCTCATTCACTGCAGCTTCTGTGATGAGATGTGTGACAGCTTGGGAGACTTAATAAGCTGGCACCCCACACAGGAGGGTTTGGTGTTTTAATCACGCCACAGGAGACACGGCGACATGCCTGCATGATTGACAACGGACAGGATGAGAGGACGTCCAGCCCGAGGCTACAGATCCATCAGAGCGTACACAGGTGAGTGCCTGCCAGACACCCACACACACACTTTCCCTTTTGTTTTATTTGTCTCTATCCCTTCAGTCTGATTTAAACACATACAGACACATACATACTCAAAATCCCACCCCACTTCTGTCGGCAAGATTGCGTCCATTTTTAAATTGAATCTGTCATTGCCTTTGTCATCCTAATGGAACAGGGGGCCTCAGAAGAGGGAGAGGGGGAGATATCGCAGTCACACATACTGGGACAGACTTGACATCAAGCAAACAAACACTCTAAAGCCGTCTGAAACATCTTGGATGAACTTGCAATGAGCTGGCAAAGATAGATTTGCCTGGCGAGTCTGAAACCACTTTCACAGGAATGAGCGCATCAGAGATTCATAGTTTGTTTAACTACCCACAGCACAAGAAATCATATTTTCCCCTCAATGTGAGTGTGAACCAAATTCAACTAGTCAAAAAGACTCACAAGTTATCAGTTTGAATATCTAGCTAGCTAGACTTTTTTGCTAGCTATATAAAATTAAGGAATGTTGGGAATAGTGCAATGATTTTAAAATGTTTTACATTAAAAATATCTAAAACATATCATGTTTTGAGTTAGTTTCTCAGGATTAGACTGTTGAATCAACTATCGTATCATTCCAGTTCCCGTGAACAAATCATTAATGAATCATGAATCAGGTCACTGAATCAATGACCCAACTAGATCATTTCAATTTTAGTGAACAAATTGTTCATAAATCATAGATCAATGAATGAATCAATAACTGAACAGTATCATTCCAATTCCAGTGAACAAAACATTCATGAATCATGAAAGCGGCAATGAGATCTAAGACGGACAACAACATTTTTTAGTGAATATTGACTTACACAACTGCTATCATATGACTTCAGAAGACTTAAATATTACATAAGCTGTATGTGCCCCTTTTATGGTGCTTCACAGCCCCAGTCCTCATTCACTTTAATTATACAGAAAAGAATGACTACAAAATTCTTCAAAACGACGAGTGTGCGTACTTGACAAGATTTTTCTAAAACAACTTCTTCTGAATTCTGTTAGAAACACAGCCACAGTGCAAACTAATAGCCCAGATGCTCATCAAGATGATTCAATGTAATGACTTTTAGAACTTGTGAAGGGCATCTTCTTTTTATAGGCATCTTTTGGCCTAATTAGCTTGCCCTAATTAAAACGCCTGCTCATGCACTCTCAAATACAGCTTATGCTGATAAAATGAAGGTATGTAACTGAAAACGAGGGGAAAACTTGCAAATAAGATCCAAAGAAACTGCAATGCAGCATGTTTGGTATTCAAAAATTGCTGCCTCTATGTCTTTTGCTCTCTTTCACTTGGTCTAATTTCTATGCTGCTTCTCTCTTAGCTCTTTTTTAAAAACACCTTTTTCTCATTTCCACTCTCGGAGGAAACGCCGGGGCAGAGAAGCAGATGTGTATGGCATGCAGCAGCAGCACCTGTGATTGGGAAGTTTTCAGACGCTGCTCTAAACTGATTTTTTTTGCCTCCTTAGGGCATGACGTTCAGAAAGCTCTTTTTCATATAGCCCACAGGAAATCACAGCAGCAGATGTGGAAATCATTTCACCGCCTGACACTTCATCTTCACAGCACGCTGAATGGGGCAGCACTCCATCACTCACTTTCCCCGTGTACAGTCGTGACGTGGCCATTTAAACCATGCAGAAAATTTGGCACACACGGGCTGTTTGCTCTGACATTTACATTTCTGCTTACAACTGAGAACGGCAGTGTTTTGTGTGGGGGCATGATGTCTGTGTGGTGTTAACGTGTAAATGCTGCAATGCAGAAACGTGAATTCATTCTATTTCTGGTGCCTTTAATGAGACATGGTTGTAGAAGAGTGTGTGTATGTGTTTATGATAATAAACACATCTGACGGCTTTTGTAAGCATTTGCACATATAACTGAAAAATATCTACTGTAAAAAAACCTTTTTCAACTCAATGTTTTGTCTTGTTATAGTAAACATATCTAAACATCTTTACAACCAGATAATTTTACTTGAAAAGTAAAACTGCATAAGGAATTAACTGTTTTCAGAAAATATATTGTGTACATATTTAGTTATACACACACTACTGTTCAAAAATGTGGGGTCTGTAAGATTTTACAATGTTCTCCAAGGCTGCATTTATTTGAAAACAGTAAAACACAGTAAAAACTGTGATATTGTGAAATATGATTACAATTTAAAATAATTACTTTCTATTTTAATAGGTAATTTACTCCTTTGATGGCAAAACTGAATTTTGGCAGCCATTACTCCAGTCTTCAGTGTCACATGATCCTTCTGTGATGCAGATTCTTTAATGAATAGAAAGTTCCTTGTTGAATAAAAGTATTAATTTCTTTTAAATGTATACTTAAAAAAATAATTCTTTGAATATATATATTTTTATATATTCATTTTATGTATTATATAAAAAAATTAATACATTTAAACTGAAACTTTGCTTAATGTTTATGCTTAACACAAAAAGATATTTAAAAAGTAATATTTATAAATATTAAATTATAAATTATCATATTTGCAAATATTAACATTTAAACTCAGGATATTTAGATAACAAAAATAAAAGACTTTATATGTGAAGATGCAGTGTGTTCCTTTATGAAAATATTTACAAAAATGCCTCTGCATGAGATTATCATATGACTAACATTTGTGACTATGCTAAACAGGTATGGAGGTTTGTTTGCTCATACGAACGTACAATCTGTTTCTCGTTGAGGTTTCCACTGCTGTAGGTGGTGGCGAGGGTGGAGGAACAGGCCTCACTGTACCACGGCACATTGCCATACTGTGTGGTGCTGCTGATGGAGAGTGTGTAGATACTGTTGGTGTATCCGTCACAGTTACAGCTGTCCCGCTCTCTCCCTCCGTTACCTGATGCCCACACGAAGATAGAGCCCAGTCCACCTCGACCCTAGAACAGATGCATACAACCTGGTCAATTACTCCTTACAAAGTACTTTTCACTACCATTCAAATTTTGGGGTGTGTATGTTTTTATGCTTTTTAAAATCTCTTATGCTGAAACATAAATATTGTATAATATTATTACAATTTAAAATAACTATTTTCTATTTGAATATGTTTTAAGATGTAATTTACTCCTGTGATGGTTAAGCAGAATTTTCAGCATCATTACTCCAGTCTTCAGTGTCACATGATCCTTCAGAAATTATACTAATATACTAAACTGCTGCTCAAAAAAAAAAGATGAAAAAAAAAAATACCCCAAACATTTGAACGATAATGTCAATAAACATAGACACCAGTTGTCTAATGTATTTATAGTCTCATCCTACAGTCCGTTCACATAATTGGCAAGTACTAATTAAAAATTGCCTGTTCCATACTGATTGGCTGGCCTTTTGAGACTTAACGCAAAGGTTTATTCCTCCTGGAAACAAACTGATGTTTACAAGTTGCTGGGCTGATACAAACGTTCTGAGGTAGAACTAATCATGGGATTTGTGAGGTCTGTGGCATCAAATCTTTAAAAAATACAAGTGGGCGATTCTTCGCCCGGATTAGCTGCTGATAGTCTTTATGCAAATCAAACGTCTGGCTGTGTGAGACAAATGTATTTATGAATCAAACATCTGTGTAGTGTCTGTGCGCCTCATCTCTATTACAATAGCCCACAAAAATCCAACTGAACAAGCCAATTATGGCTGTCATGATTAATTTCAAACTAATACCGTGACCTCTGAAATCTGCTGTATTTAATGCTTTAGCAATAATGGCTGGACAGCTGACAAAGCGCCACGTTTCTTTTCTCATATATTAGCCTCCTCTCTCGCTGCAGTCAAGCAAGTCGGCAGAATATGATTAAAGTTTCTGTTCTATCTTATGCTGTCCATATGGGTAATATTCACAGCTGACTGACTCAGGATTATTGTGGCCATAAACGGTTTGTTTGTTTCTTTGAAATGCCGCAATCTGGTTTCAAATATTTAGAGGCACAATTCTAGGAATGATAAAAGTGGGGATAAAGAGCTAAAGGGATAAAGTGCAAAGAGACAAAAAGCGAGAGTCGCACCACTGAGGCAGATGTTTATGCGATGCGTAATTTAAGTAAATTACTAGAGGGAGAAATCAATTTTAAATCCCACCAAAATTAACAGCAGTCAAACTCATTCTGCACGGCTGTATCAAAGTGCCATTATTCACCCAGACAAAAGATGGAATCTTTTTGTAACGCTCTGACAAAAGCATGTCTGCGATTACCAAGGACCAGGGTTACTTTTAAAATGTATTCCGTTACAGTTACAAATTACTTCATTAAAAAAGTATTCAGTAACGTAATCCAAGTACCACAATATAAAAGTAATGTAATCTGATTACTTTTGGATTACTTCAAGTTACATATGTGAATAAGTCAGAAAAGCAATATCTAAGTACTTTTATTGAACTATGACTTTAAAATTAAAACTAATAAAAACTATAGTAAAAACTATTTGAAACTATTAAAAATCGTGTCTTGTTTCACCATCTAGATATTACAGCTCGTATATTTATATAAAAGGCTATGCAGACATCGAGTGGCTATACAGTTTAGTATTACAGTTTTCTTTTTCTTATTTCTTTACCATGTACAAGTAAAAATAAATAGACTTTATACACAACATTAAAAAATTTACATCATATACATATTAGTCTATTTTAAAATAAGCCTACATATCGAAATGCATGTGAAATGCTATGATCTTTATTTCATTGACTGATCCGGGGTGTGGGGACTCTCGTTAATTTTTACATTTTCAGGCTCATTTTCTGCTAGAACACTTACACACAACTGCAGTCATGCACACCATGGAATTTTTAATCACTAACAAACACGAAATTTTAGCTAACATGATGATTTCCATGCTAGTGGGACTCGTACTTGCAAATGTTCAAGTTGGTTGAGTAGCCTTTGTTAAAGTAAGAGTCTTCATGCATAGCTTACGCTGTACGACTATGTTTTTTCCTTTATCCTCTTTGAAAACAAAATAACTGTGAAATTTCCAGACATGAAAACTTTTTTTCACAGCAGGAAGCATCGTAATTAATTTACTGTAGTGTTTGAGGAGAATAATTGTAGACGGGTGTTATTTGCGCACGCACCGGCAGGCGGCTCACGTGAGTCAACGGGTGTCAACAGAACCAGGAACTATGCAGCGCTAAATATATAGCGTTATGTCAAAATACTCATTTATTTAATTTTAAATGAAACAAATGTAATCCTGATAGTATTCCCACTTTTTACAAAATGTAACTGTAATCTGAATACTTCATTTTTTGATGTAACTGTAACGGATTACAGTTTATAGATTTTTGTATCCTGATTACGCAACGTCGTTACATGTATTCTGTTACTCCCCTGCCAAGCAGGATTCAGGATGAAGCAGAAGCGGCACTCGCAGTAGGCAGCAATCCTAAAAAGGTCAGATTCTTTGCCTGTCAAACACTACATGCTCTTTTCTCGCTGTGACAAATCTCATAATTTCTGCAGTGTGAGGTGAAAGCAGGTGGTTTGAATTTAATTCCATTAATGATATTTTACTAAATTATTATGAAGATAACGCAAGATTCCTGCATGGCTGTTAGAATGCGTCAACACACTCATGGGGGTGAAGAGGGATGAATTTTGTTGAATTTTCAACACATTTTCAATGCTGCTGTGACATTCTGTCTGAGGAGAAGTTGTGAGCATATGGTTTAAAATACTTGATGGCAGAAGGTTTATAATAGAAAGTGGAATGAAAAGAGTACTGAAATGAACAAACAAGATGTGTGTAGAAAAGTCTAGATTTTTACAAGTTCCTTTTTCATTGTGTTTATCATTCCCCCGGGCAAAAATTGCAAGTCTGATTTCTTAGAAAAATAATACCACTCAGTAATAGCCTCTCCTCAGTAAGCCACACGATTTGAAGCATCATTCATGTCTGTAGTACAAATGGTGCATGATGACTTACCCGCTTAAGTTTAGAGGTTTGTTTATATCCATAACTGTACATACACTACTGCTCAAATGTTTAGGGTTCTCAAGGATTTTTTTAAAGGAATTAATACTTTTATACAGCAAAGACACATTAAATTGATCAAAACTGACAGTGAAGACATTTAGAATGTTACAAAAGATTTCTATTTGAAATCTAGTTTTCAACATAATAATAAGAAATGTTTCTTGAGCACTAAATCAGCATATTAGAATGATTTCTGAAGGATCGTGTGACACTGAAGATTGGAGTAATGATGCTGAAAATCTTCGCCATCACAGGAATACATTATATTTGAAAATAAAATAGAAAATCATTTATTTTAATTTATTTTCTATAAATATAAATAAAAATATATATTTATTATTGTTTATTACTTTTTCTTTAAATTAAAACACTTACAAAAACATTTGAAAAAGAAAAAAGAAATAGGTGAAAGGAACAAGACAGTCTAATTTTTGAATCGTGGATAAAAACAAACTTATTTTCATATTCATAGTGCGATGTGTGTGTGCTGAAACTCTATCAAGGTATAAAATCACAAGGGATAAGCGTATGTGTGCCACACAAGAAAGATTTAACATATCAAAAACGAAAACAGAAAACAAATGCTCATCTCCTGCCAAGATCACAGTAATCTCCCTAAATATAGTATTCTCTGTAATCCTGTGTTTGTCAAAGCGCACATCCTTCTCAATTCCCTCTCCGTAAATGCATTTAAACAGGCGATGACATCTTCTACAGCTCACCCTGTCCAGCTCGGTTCCTCTAGCAGAGGTGCTGATGGGAGTCGATGGCAGCTGTGACACATTTAGCTGATCTAAAATCTGCTCGGATGACCTGACGTGAGCAATCACACTAACACTGACTTGAGGAGACACTGTGACTGGAAGTCATTCATTTTCAATGAGAGTTTCAGTGACATGAGTGATTTGTAGACATGTCTAGTGATTTAGCGCCTACCAGCAACCAACAGTACGGAGACCTCCAGTGGTAAAATCTCTTCCAGTCTATACTGACCTCAGTAACCCCCTGCAGGAAAGCTTCTTTGGCCAGTTTGGCAGGGCCATCCACTGTCTTCCCATCATCCTCTGGGCCCCAGCTGGCGCTGTAAATGTGGATGTGCTGGGAGTTCAAGCTCAGAGACTGAGCCTCCACAACATCTGTTACCTCTCCGTCCAACATCCGCACACCTGCATGCAGAACAGAGGCAGATAGAAAAAGCATTAATGAAGATACCAGAGAGACAGGAAAAATCGGTTTTGTGAAAATGTACTGTCTGTAAGCCTGATGGACATTTGGAAGGGAGAATGGAAAAACAATTAATGAAGGGGGGGTGGACGGTTTGACCAAAATCTTATATCACGTCATGGTAACGATACATATCACGACATAGTTATTTTTGCTTTAAATAAGGTCTTTATGACATCAACATTTTTGATACCATTAGAAATGTCATAATTCTTGTCACCAGTGTCAACATCACAAAAAAACTCAAGCTCACTGAAGACAAGCAAACAGTCAGCGATGAAATAAGAATAAGAAACTAATTACAAGCAATAGGACAAACAAACTACAGAACAAATACATAAGAAATGCTACATACATTGTATAAAGTAATCAAATATATAAAAACACAGCATATTCTTCACTGTATAAATTAAATATATATTTCTTCTTATTCTCTAAAGTTACAAAAGTGATTTAGACAAGAGCAGTGAGAGATTTTCTCTCTTTTGTTGTTTGATTAACATGAATGACAGACAGCAGGAATGCTGTCACTTTAAGAGCTGCCCGGATCCAATGTACTGTTACACATGTGTTTTCTTTCTCAGCTGTTTGCTTTCACTTAAGACCTAAATTACTGTGTTTACGAGGATACTTGCAAAGATGGGCATTTTGACACATACAAGTGTGTGTATTTAACCTTTCAAGGCCTATAAAGCAGCAAAAATGACTATAAGCACCGTCTCAGAAATAGTCTCTCAGACAGTGCGCACTATAGCAAATATGCCAAATGAGTTCTCTCTCGCTGCTGATTGCGTTTCAATGGCTTAAAATCAAATTATCTACCGGTTAACAAATTTCTATTAATTAATTAAATTAATAATAAAATAATTTCGGTTAATTATGTTAACTAGTATATTGCCTGCCCCTAAACGAATGTGCAAAAGATTCCAGCACAAAACTTTCTACTGCCACTGAAAGCAAAAATGCTGCATGAAGACAAATGCACAGCCATCCAGAACATATTCGATGTTAAATATAAAACTATATGGAGAAGGATTTAGACCAATGAGTGTTTTTAATATGCTTAAAGACAAATTATATGCAAATTCATCAGTCAACACCATTGCTGAGCAAACTGCAGTGTACCAAAGACAACCTCAAGACTGCAATCTGAAACAGCCCGTTTCTGACCATTACAAAGATGTAACCAATCCCGTCCAATTTTTATATCATTAACCTATCACAGAAACATGGTTTGTGTAACTTGTAGATGACTTGCAAAGCTTACTGCTATTATTGGGTGGCTGGCGTAATACAAATAATGAATGCATTCGAAGATGTGAAATATTATTTCCAAGCATACTGTCCCTGCAAGTATATGACACATGGTATGATTTTTGCTAATAAACCCACATATGAATTAATCCCGGTGCTCCCAATACGGACTATACTCTCAAAATATTATAACTTTAATCTCGTAATTGCTACAACTTAATTCTCGTAATATTGACTTTACTCTCAAAATATTTTGAATTTATTCTCATATTGCTAAGAATTTATTCTCATAATTTTTGACTTTTTTCTCAAAATATGACGACTTTAATATCGTATTTTTTTTTATTAACGTAGGACTAAAACGCCATAGTATATATAGTCACTGCAAAATGTTAAAATAAAATCAGGAAAATACTCCTTTTGATGAAGTTGACAGAATTTTAAAGAATCTAATTAATAAGAATGATTCTGTGGCCATTTGTTTGATTAATAATAATCCTAGCAACAGGATTCAGACACTTAACACCACCCCCAAACACACACACACGACCCAGTGGCCAATTAGATCGGCAACATCTGCTGTCTTTAGACGCACACACATACGTTTACTTAGCTATCTAAATGGGGACTCTCCATAGGCATAATGGTTTTTATACTGTACAAATTATATATTCTATCACCCTACACCAACCCTACACCTAAACCTACCCCTCACAGGAAACTCTCTGCATTTTTACAATTAAAAAAAAACGTTGTTTACTTTATTTTTATACCAGTTTTACAAATGAGGTCGTCCCCAAAGGGAGGTTTTTGGAGATTTTGTCAGGTTTAGCTCACTTTTGGGTAAAAATTTGTCCCCAAAATATGGTTAAGTAGGCACACACACACACACACACACACACACACGGACAGACTTATCCTCTTATTACAAAGATACACACACAGAAACACAGAAATCACATGCAGGCTCAGGCAATGCCCTCTGCCTTAATCACCCTCATCTAGATGGAGAAATATTTTCCTACAAAGACTATTAAAATAAGAGATATGGAATTTGTGTGTGCCTGCAGCGGTCTGGCCCTGAATGCACTCAATGTGACTGGAATAGCCAAGATATTTCTGAGATATTCACCTTAATGGATGTGTTTTATAATTGAAAGATAAAGCGTTTGAGATTAGTCCATAGCAGCATGACGACATCAGCCATTAAATGCACAAAGGGCAGGAAATGAGAGAATGCTTGGATAGTTTTAATGCGTGACCTATCTGATTGATCCTATTACCATATGCTAATTTCTAACCACCTATCAATCGGATTCTTCACTCACCTCCGATTTTGGCATTGTAGGCCACACCCACTCCACAGACGCCATTGTTTGCTGCTGCCGCCACCTCCCCGGCACAACGTGTCCCATGTCTAAAGATACAAAGAGAGAGTTTGCACTAGTGAACAGTGAGGCATTGCCCAATTTACAACCAGTTCACATTCAGTTCAGCTCACTTCAAATTCAGTCCATGCTTGTACAGACAAATTCTAGGGGTGCTGTCTTCGCAACAGAGCTCTCAATGCACCCAAATACAGACACATTATCTTTATCCTTTAATTAAATTCTAATTAGTTCTTGCAGGCGACAGTGATAAATAAATAAATAGCTTATTATGCTTGTCACTGATGGTTCCTACAGTACTGCACACATCTCAGCAGCTCTGTGCCATGGTGTGGATGAACTTCACTGTCTAAAGAAATTGCAGCTGGCTCTGGGTTTTGTTTGTGCACTGCTAGAGCTATTCTCTCCATTCATCTGTGTCCTATTGGAGCTCATTGTTTCTCTGAGACAAAGTGGAGAACAGGACGATAGGGACCAAAGAAAAGGACCAGACAGCCCTTGAGACTGCAGATGTGTTGAGGCGGTGACCTCGCTTCACCAGAGCTTTCATTACATCTGCCATTTTACACAAAAACATACACAAATATTATTGGGCACACATGAACATGACATACAACAAAACAGGAAAATGACACTAATGAATATGCTTCAGGCTCTTGGCCTCTAAGCACTCATGCTCAGGACCAGAGTATGTGAGCGGAGTGGAGCGGCAACAATTTCCCCTCCGCGCTTCCAAGCATTCAATAATCACTCCGCTCCAGCTCCGCTCCGAGTTCACCATTCCCCGCTCCCGCTCCACTCCTCGCTCCACTGATCAGAAACACCGCTCCGCCTTACACTACAATTAGCCCAAGTCCATATTAAATGACTGCTTAACTCGCTTAGCTTAGCTGTGCAGCGTGGCGAACTATGGCGAAGCTGAGGGTAGTTACTTCAGAAACAGAAAGAATATGCTGTAACTGTCCACCGACAAAAAAGTTAAACAAAAAAAGAAAAAAGAAGAAAAAGGCACAGTTGAATTAATAGTTGAGCATCTACAAGCAATAATTCAAAGTTAGTCAAGTGGGTAATTTCTAAATGAATCAGTGGCATTAAACAAAATGTATTCAGTTCACACAGTCATGTGATAAATAAATAAATAAAATATTATACATATAAAATTGTGCAACCAAATTGTTAAACGCAAGAAGTAAAATACACTAAATGAATAAAAAAAAGTTAAATCAACAGACCATATAATTGAATTTGATCACTTTAATTTGTAGAGGTAAAAATAATTAGTCTTTATTTATGAAAACAAGGCATGTAAAAATGTCATAGCAAATATCTAGAAAGATTTTTGATTGATGATGCAAACAAATTAAGCTGAAACACAAGTTTTCAACTGATTTACTAAGAAGATTCTTCCAAACATCTGCATGTTCAAATCAGAGGTTTAAAATAAAGTCTTATACTCAGAAGTCTGAACACAAGGAGCAAGTTCAAAAATTTGGTGATCTTGTTAAATGTGTAAAGCTTAGGTGGGCAACAATAGCTTCTGATTAAGGCTCTAGATGTATTGTATTTCATCAAATCAATAATTGCTGAGGAGGGAGGTGTCCACACAGGTTGAAAGCAGGGGCTCTTGGCAGGCCATTATGCAGGTCGTTAAGATTCGTTTCTGATTACTGAGCAAATACACGACGTGAAAACACTCTCTCAGGCTTCCACAAAACCTGCTGTGTACTAGTAATTCAAAACGCACTGTAATTGTGACTGCATTTATTCTCCAGGGCATGTGGAATTACAGTACATACTTTCAGGATGAAGTCCTTTATCACATAGAGGAGAAATGTATTATTCAGATGCATGCATCAGGATCTATCTATCTCTCTCAAGCTGTGAATGAGATCAAAACGATTTTATGCTAACAACCACGTTAGCTAGTTAACCTGCCTAGCAGGTGGTTTGATTTTCTTTTCCTCACAATTAACATCATTCAGCCAGTCTAATGAAACATTTGTGTGTGCTCATATGAAAGGCAATAGCCCGAATTGCAACAAATTCCTTTCATGCTGAGGTTGTAAAGCCTTTGTTTGCAATAAAGAGTCATTTTCCGCATTTTGTCTTTTGGCGAGGTGACAGTTATCATGACAAATGGTTGATAGCCGGGAACACCTCATGAATAAACAATACAGTTTTTATATCGGCTCGTTTTGAAGGTTGTTTGTAGCTGTAATGTATTGCATAAGGGAATTGCCTATGGTAAAAAGAGATTTTATGCACACCATTTATAAGAAGATGTTACTGCCATGGCTCAGGATGGCTAGTCAGGTGGTAGCAAGGTAAACTCGAGTTTGGTATCTTCTGTGCTGATTTTAACTGGTAATGTGAGTTACACTAGCTTAATTCCAACAAAATTTAATCTGATAAAAGGTCCATTGTCTGTTGTAAATAAGTCACTTTCAAACCAAGCAGCTTTCTGTTGGTCAAAGCGGTGAATTCGCCCATCTGAACATCTGAACCTGATGCGAAATCTGCCTGGGAAAATGTTTTGCCCTCACAAAATTCCCGATCATGTGGATTTTTACTAAAAAGAGCCCCTAAAGAGACATGGAGTTGAAAGAAACTGAGGAAAATTAATTTTTTAATACTTTTGCGTTCTCTCCCCAAGAAATGTAGTGCTTATTCACAAAAGGTTTTGCAAGTGAACGCAAAGTTTCTCAGACGAACTCAACACTTGAGGGAACACAACATTTTGCGAAACACCACAAACGCATTGAACATTTTCCTCCCACTTCATATTTTTTTCCATCATTACGTCCCCTTACGGGCTCCATAGTATTGCAATTTTCTGAACTACAATAAATGTGACCGCAAAATTAGACTGCAAGCCTTAACCCCATTACTTTGTCAACATTTTATTCAAATTGCACAGGACTTCCTTAAGATCAACTGGAAGTGATTCAAAGTGAGTGGCTGTATGACCTTATGAGGTTGTGTAATGTACAAACTCTTGCTTGAAATTCCCCATGTAAGAGGTCTGCTGTGATATTGCTTTGATTTGCATATTCCCATCCACAACTTTCAAAGACACCCACATGCAGTCAAAAAGACAGATCAGTGGCCGTGTCCTGAACTCAAGGGCTTAGTGGGTATCATTACGAAGCCGTGGCACAGTCAAGGGTAGGGGCAGTTATTTTACACAGTGATTTTCAAAAGAAGTCATAGGACCATAACACAACCTTTCAATCCAAACACAAACAGTCCTTCCTGACAAAAAAAAGGAAAAAGGCTTTCCTTCTAAAGTCAGGAAAAACACCAAGGTCGCTTCTCTGGCAGCTATTCAAGCATAAAAGCAATCAAACTATCATTTACTCCTGAGTGTAGACAGCATAGCCTGAGCCTGTCAATTTGTAAAAAGTTAGTGTTTGTTCTTTAAATGATGTGGGGAACACACACCCATTCATTTATTTGCAACGGTAATGGACAGTGACTCAATCCTGGGCTTTGTTTCATAGCTGAGCCCACGTAATGTTTCACAATCAGATTTTACTCATTCGGCACCTCGTGACCAAATCAAATCTACGGCTTTATAAACCCGAAACCTTATTCCGCACGATTAGAGTTCCCTACCACAGAGAAAGCTTTTTTAACAGAGATGCTGTTCAGCTAATTTCCCTTTCACAGCACAGCGAGGTGCAAAAACACAAGAACACTGATTCAGACGGTCTCAGTATTTTTTTAAAGTGCCATGAGTCACAATGACGAGCTCAAAGGATGTGTAGTTGGGGAAAAGAATGCGAACATGTGATGCAATAACAAGCATCCTTGTGTGCCTTTACATAAATGATGGTTCAACCATAAATGTGTAAAAAGATGGCGGTGGCAAAGTGTTAATTGATTGGCTACACATCAGCGTCATACCGATGCCACAACTGGCCTAAATTCATTAAAGGGATAGTTAACCCAAAAATGAAAATTCTTTCATTAACCTCCTGGGGTTGACAGTTCCGCGAGCGGAACTTTTTGCAGATTTGAATGATGACCGCGAAAAGAACTAAAATGCTCCTTCATACTTGACCGTACTTATATAAGAGTAATACAGCATTTAAATCTGTAAAGGGTCTACTTTTATTTGTGTACACTCACAATATCAACAAAACATTGTGCTTTTGCAAAATAAAGAAAATATACAGGGTGTGCTTTTAGCCATCCTATTCTCCGCGCATATCTGTTTGAAACGCGCCACTAAAATGAACTGAAACTCAGCGAATATTTGACACACACACATGAGAGACATATCTATAGAAAGCTTAGCATGTCTACTTTTAAACGAAGTAAGTCATGACGAAAACAAATATTATGTGACAAAGTAATCCGTATGAAACCAACGCGATGTCAAATCTTGGCCGTCGCCCTCATTATCGCTAATGTGACCGTGCCCACGCGCCGATCGTGCTTTTGTTATTACAATCGTCCACGTGAAACACACGCATGTAAACGCCCACATCACAGCAAACACAGCAGCGAGACGTTTTGCGATCATCTGATGTGTAAACGTGTCAAGTAAGCTGTAAATAAGTGATGCATCGACAGACATACAGTGGGTACGGAAAGTATTCAGACCCCCTTAAATTTTTCACTCTTTGTTATATTGCAGCCATTTGCTAAAATCATTTAAGTTAATTTTTTTCCTCATTAATGTACACACAGCACCCCATATTGACAGAAAAACACAGAATTGTTGACATTTTTGCAGATTTATTAAAAAAGAAAAACTGAAATATCACATGGTCCTAAGTATTCAGACCCTTTGCTCAGTATATAGTAGAAGCACCCTTTTGATCTAATAAAGCCATGAGTCTTTTTGGGAAAGATACAACAAGTTTTTCACACCTGGATTTGGGAATCCTCTGCCATTCCAGCATGCTTGCTTTTTTATTTCAGATGTGAGAATAACAGTGTAAAAGAACCTGTTGCAAAGAGAGCCAAAGCAAAGCAGCCCACTTGGTCATGGAAACCAGAGACTGACGCTGACATGTTCCACAGGCTCTGAGATTCCTGCCCCGCACAAGAGCCTGGACCACAGCTAAGACCATGTGATGCACACACTCCCATGAGTTATTTTATGTGATAGTTATATGTATTCTAAATAAACTACAAACAAAAAATATACAAATTTATTTTTTCCCTCACATTCTTTCTTGTAGCAATTCCCTCTGTCACACACCTGACTGAAAGGCTCATTATGCAGGCCTTTGTCTTCTCAGGTGTGAATCACAGCATTATGCATGATCATTCACGCCTACTCGCATATACCTTTTCTACACAAAAAGTGTCTTAGAAAATTTAAATCAATATATTGTTTTCTGTGAATGAGTAAGATGATTTTCACATAATTTTGAAGCAAAAACTCTAGACTTCAAGATCTGTTCTCAAAAATCTTGTGATCAAATGTTCTGTATGTGTTTTATGGCCTTATTTCAGTGACTTTAAAATTGTAGTTTTTCACTAAGCACGCATAAACGTTGTTTTCTCAAAAACACAATCACGTACATAAATGCTGCTCACATATTATTGCAGCCCAGTTTGTGCTGATTACAGTGTTATTAAACTTTAGACATTCAAATGTTTGTAAGCAACTGAAAAAAGCACAAATGTCAGGGCATGTCAAAACTTTTCCATGCCCCAAAACACCCTAGGACCCCAGAGGGTTAATTTCTCATCTTCATGTCGTTCCAAACCCGTAAGACCTTTGTTCATCTTCAGAACACAAATTAAGATATTTTTTATGAAATCCGAGAGAATCCGAGCCTGGTTAAACAGCAACAGAACTGAAACGTTTTATGGCCCCGAAAGGTAGTAAGGACATCATTAAAATAGTCCATGTGACATCAGTGGTTCAACCGTATTTTTATGAAGCTACGAGAATACTTTTTGTGCGCAAAGAAAACAAAAATAAATTCAATATAAGCTGTATTTAGACTAATGAGAAAGTTTTGAGTTCTGAAACTTTTGTAGTACAATGACCTCTTATA